GTGTGTGTGTGTGTGTGTGTGTGTGTGTGTGTGTGTGTGTGTGTGTGTGTGTGTGTGTGTATCAGAAGCTCAGAGCTGCTGTTGAGTCAGTTCAGATGTTCGGCCTCTCAGGTGAGGCGTGTTGTGAACGAGATGCTCGTTCTCCAGGAGAATCAGAGCGGACCGAGGAGGAGGCAGAGGACAGACTCTGTTTGGAGTCCGACTCCGGAGCGCCTCATATCCCCTCGAGGAAAACCAGAGGAGTCTGAGCAGCTGCTTATTTGATTTTACTGTAACTTTTTATAGTGCAAGAAAAAAAAACTCAGCAATAAAATCTAAGTCTAAGAATTTACTGAATTTTATAGACATTTGTAGTCTGACACTAAATCATTTTTCTAAATTAACCAAAAAGAAAAAATAAGTAAGTCCTCTGGATGGGAACCCATCCAGAGGACTTACTTATTTTTTCTTTTTGATTTTTTCTACCTGGATTACTGAGATGCATCAGGACATTTTTTAAATTAGGATTTTTTTCTGCTCCTGATCAAATACTGAGGTAAAATAATAAAAATAAACTTCATGAACATCATTTCTGTGTATATAGAATTGTATTTTTGAATCAAGTACTTTGCTTTTCCTGCCGGAGGCTGCATGCTGGGCTCCAGGACCCGGTACTGATCCATGATCTTCTCCACCAACTTCTGCTTCTCCCGACGGAGCTCACTGAGCTTCTCCCTGAAGAGAGAAGAAACACCAGAACCATCAGAGTCCAGAGGGTTACCAGCTTGCGTCATCGGCTCGTATCAACGGGATTTAGCTGACATTTCTGTGGAACGCAAAGAGCGGATTTCAGTGAGCAACGATTCAGCTGCTGTGTTCACAAAAACTAAATAAATAAATAAATAAATAACAGGACATTCCTTAAAAAGCCAAAGTTTAAAAAAAAAAACTTAAACACCAAGTTGCTGAAACATATGGTTTAATATTAAAACAGCAGCGGTTTCAACTGAAAAACTGGAGATTTTTAGCCGGGTGTAAACAATCCTGTCACCACACGATCCATGAAGCCAGTTCTAATTAAAATATACAGACGTGAGCTTTAATAAAACTGTGACTTAGTTTTTTAAGCAGGAAATCTAACTGATGAAAGTCTGAGCTGTCTTCCTGGGTCCAAACACCGGAAACCACGACAAGAACTGGTTCTTCGGCTGTTTTTGGAGTTAGGTTATTTTAAAGGGGACCTATTATGCAAAATTCACTTTTTAAAGGTTTTATTACTCAACTTTGGGTATGTACTTCTTAAAAAAACAGTCCTAGGACCAAAAAAATGCACCCAGGGGCATATTTACTGTAAGTAAATGTATTTTTAATGTGTATTCACGATAAGTTTTTTACTTCTGTCATTTTGTGATGTCAGAAGCCGTACGACAACCCCTCACCTAGCAACCCCCAGGTGAGACTCCACCTCTTCAGTACAAAAAGCCGTCACGGTTGTTGTTGTGCAATGTGTAGCTCGTTTCACAACAAGCCTCCAATAGGGCAATGGGTAGAGTGTTGGACCAGAGAACGGGAGACCAGGGTTGACACAATTTAATTATTTATTTTCTTTCGTTATGAACACGTTTTCTCATGTACCTCTATTGTTTAGCTTATTAAAGCCTTGTTAAAGCYTATTTGTTCGAGTTTCTGAGGTATTTTGACCGCTGCTGCTCCCTGCTCTGGTAACAGCATGCAGAGTGAGCGCAGAGCAGAGGAGGGAGAAAAAAAAGAAGCTGCCTCTGGGTCTCTCATATGGTTGTACAACAGAGCTTCTGCTATTATTAGCCATGCTAACATAAATGCTGGCTTTGGAGGGCGGAGTTAATGTCAACAGATTTTTGGAGGGCGTTACCAACAGAGCTCATTAACAAACAGCTCTTCTGAACAGAAGTCAGAGCAGGCAGAACTAGAAAATGGGAAATTTTATTATCTGAGAATTATTTTGTGCATTAAATTGAATGAACATGGTCTGGATAGCCCACAGACCATAAAAATTTCTAGGACCCATAATTGGTCTCCTTTAAACACTTTACCAGATTCAGGCTACGTTTCTTCTCTCCTCTGTGACGAGACAAAATAAAAACATCTCATCAAAGCTGCTCGATCTTAGTGTGAGTCAACAGTGGGAGGAAATCAAACAAATACCATCTCAGACAATAATTTAAGATCATGTTTTGTTATCATATTAAATCTAATATCAATCTTTCCTTCAGCTTTGTTTCAGTCTCCCAAATGACTTGTAGAGGAAATGTTTCGGCGGTTAAATATTGCTCGGCAACACGCCACCTTTTTATTTCCCTGGAGCTTCCTGTGAACGTCCCCGACCTGCCGTTCTCCGTCAAACAGATGATCACAGCCTTCCTAAACGGCCCAAATTCACCTGACTGCAGCTCCTTCATCAGCAGTTAACTCCCACAGTATCTGAATCTGCTCTTATTCCACCGGCTTCTGCAACAACCGTCTGAATCTGATCCTTTATGTCCTCAGCAGCTGACAGCCTGACTTCCTTTTACTCACATTTGATCAGATTTTAATTCTCAAACTGAAGCAACAAAAACACAAATAATCGACTGATAGTTTTAAAAGACGTGGCTCTGTGTTTTGGGAGCGATTTGTTCGGAGCAGTGAGAAAAGGAGATCCTTTTCCAGAACAAAAGCTGAAAATTGAAAGAGAAAAAGCAGAATTTCTAAATGAGGTTCATTAGACTGTAGGAGTGAAACCAGCTCTGCGTGCTCAGTATAAACTCTGAATTAATCTGCGAGGCAGTCATGAGGCCGACCGCTGAGTGCTGCTGGACTGTGAAATTGTCGTCTCGTAGACTTTGTGCACTTTATGAAATCAGACTGCTGCTTTTCACATCATATCTGAAATTGGCTTTTTACAAAAAAAACAGCGTTTAGATGCTTGGTTTTATTACTCAGAATCTTTTTATTTTCTTGTTTTAGTGATTATTCTCAGCTGAACAAATTATCTGTTGCATGTGTGTGTGTGTGTGTGTGTGTGTGTGTGTGTGTGTGTGTGTGTGTGT